GCCCCCAGAAAATGACAGGCCCAGGGCCCTTATGAACATAAAAACGGCTCTGTGACACAGAAAGTCAAGACCAAAATAAAAAAATTTTAAAAATATTTTATTTTTGTACTTTTCTATATTGAAAGTTGGTCTTCAAACAAAAGGAATTTCTTAAGACAAGAATTTCTTAATTAAAAAATTTCTTAATATTAGTTAAGACAAGTATTTAAAAAAATGTTAAACGTTCTAAAGTGAACGCACTTAGTAATATTGAAGCTATTAATAAGTCAATATGTATCAGGAACACATTTTGTTCAGTTCTCTGCAGATTTCTTTTATTGTTGCTAGCTGACTTTTTGATTGCTCTTCTGGTTTCTTGTCTTTAAGTATCTGGCTTTTTTCCAGATTGACCTATGTAGAGAGACAAAATTAATTTATTAAAAACTTTCAACCAATTATGCAATAAACGAAAGGACAGTCAAAAATCTAAATACCTGAGTAATAAATTATTACTCAGACTTATAATTACTAAATATTACTCAGACTTAATAAATTATTACTCAGTTTTAAACTTATTAAGAGTATATTTATATATATACAAGAGGGCGCCCCGCGAACGGTATGCGAATTGCCAAACCATACCATAGATTATAAACTTGGCGATTGCAGGTGGAATTGGCGATGGATAATGCATAAATGAGGCGGGAGAACGAAATTACATTAACTCTAAACAGTGTAATTCGATATTCTTTTTCTCCTCCTCGACTAGCCATGGTGAATAAAAATAACTCATTTACTCTTTTTACAGGGATGTGATGACAAAAACACAAAAAAGAGGAAGTTTATAACTGTAGCATTAAACGTGCAAAAGAAAAAATTATATGAATTCAATAGCCAATCTGATAATGATTACATTATTATCTATTCAAATAAATATAAATAAATGGTAATTATGTTCTTAAATAAAATCTTGATTAAAATAATTTTTTTTAATAGTTTAGATAACTTTGAGTAATTATGCATAAGCACGATTTTATGTATCACATCATTTTAAAAAACATTTCTTTAATGGTCAAAGGACCTTTATGGACTTTCTCATCAGTTCTTTGTTTTATCGATGGTCTTTTATTAACATGACTGATCAGTAGACTGCGTTTTGCAGACTTTTGATAATCAGTGTTGATAGGACAAGAAAGTTCATTTCTCACATAATTTTTAGAGGCCTTGGATTAAGAATCGCGATGTTGGATTTCAAAATCGCGTGAATAAGAATCGCGATGCTTGAATTTACAATCGCGTGAAAAAAAAATCGCGATGCCGGATTTTAAAATCGCGTGAATAAGGCGATATCGGATTTTAAAATCGCGATGTTGGATTTTAAGATTGCGTGAATAGGAATCGTGATGTTAGATTTTAAAATAGGGTGAATAAAATCGCAATTTTAGCAGATTCTGGCCCAGTCCCTAATATTTAAAATTCTGTAAATCAGCCAATCAAAAGAAATCAAATATCAGCGTCCGAAACGAGAGTTGGGGGGAGTTCGTCGCAAATCCGCGTTCGTTCGACTCCCCAAAAGTTTTTGGAACATGGTCGGAAATTTTTAAAAGTCTTTCATCCCTGAAAAAATAAGAGAGTAAAGGAGTAAAAGACGGCATTGTTTTACCAAGATCAACCACTTTTACCCCAGCCAGCAGATTGACACGCCAAGAAAGGTTTATTGGGGGCTTCAATACTTTCGCTCCGCGGAAGAAAAAAATTTTCAACAAAATATCATTTACTGCATAAAAATTTTTTCCGCGCGGAAATTTATGAAAAAAGTGCGGAAGATATGGAAAAATCTGAAAAAAGCGGAAGAATCACATACCTGTTTTTAGTAGAGAATTAAAAAATAAAATAAAATTTTTATTGCTAGTATCCCTTCACAAATACACTGTATTTATATTTTATTTAACGCAATAATTTATATTTTATAACGATCTAGTTTTTTGATATAACAGATTTAATTTTTTTTATAAGAATTGTGTTTGCGAAGAAATAAAAATAATTTATTAATGAACCAATCACAAAAAATAACGTATCATTTTAATACCATGTTTTATTGGAACGCTATTTTGTAGAATTAATTCTATTTAACTTTTATTGTAAGAATTAAAAAAATATCATAATTAGAAAAATTGTCAACCTTCAATTTAAAACTTCCTGTTGTCAAATATTAATAATTATAATTTTTAACAACTTTTTTAAACACAAATTTTTAATTCTCGAACTTATTCTCGAACTTAATACTATCCTTCATATGAAAATATCAGAAAATTTATAAAAGAATAACTATTTTAAAATTGAGCCATTAGCGACAACAGAGGAAGGATGTATGTGCAGATTTTAAGTAAATTATATGTTATAGAACTAACATTTAAGACTTAGAATAACTTTAGATAAATAAAAAACAATAACTATTTATTATTTTTTTTTTATTTTATTTTTTTATCATTAATAATAACTATTTACACAAATAATTATTTATGGTTGTTTGATACTCACTGTTTTTCTGTCTTCACAGCTTTGAAGAGACAAATTTGCTGCTTTATGAGAATCCAAGGATTGGTATAAGATTGCAGGTTCCTCCTTGCTTAGATCAAAAGGTGGAATCCATTCTTCCTCCGGGACTGATTGTCCTAATTTTATGAAGTAAAAGGAAAAATTACTCAATCAGAAAATCATGATAAGTTTTTCTATGCACTCAAAAAAGGATAATAAGAATTTAGGTAGTTCGGTTATTTTACGAAAATATTTAACACTGACTGTCGCGAAAATGGTTACACACTAAGACTTCTGTTGTTCGAGACGGAGGGTAATAATTAGGTACTCTGTCCGCCATTCGTCTGGAGGGGTGGCGGGGACTATGGTAACGAGGTATGATTATTTCAAGTAGGGGTGCGGGGTCCCTCTTTAAGACTGGTTTCGGTGGGAGAAAAGGAGACTTCTTTCTTCGATCTATTGTATTAGCCCTAGAGTTAAGAGAAATGAGCATTCGCGCCTGAAACATCGTTTAGAGCGTGTGATTCCTTTTTTTTTA